TTTAATTGAAGGAAGGGGAGGGGGCAATGGGTTGGCAGAAAAGGATGCTGTTTTTGTTTTTATGCCGAAGGGTGGACAGACCCCGGTAAAAGTTTCCCGTGCAATATGTTATGTGCGGTGATTATAAGTTTTTTGCAAGGGTATTGGGAAAACAGAATAAACAGGTTTTGGTAAAGTAATTGTAGAGGCAATATGGCATACCGGGTAGATCAATGTATGAAGGGCGGGTTATTAGGATTTTTTATAGAGCATGGGGGGGGGGGGAGGGGGGGTTTTGGTCTGGATTGGGAGTGCTTATGATGGTAGAAAGGGAGCATTTGGGTTTTTGCGTTTTTTGGGTTTCGGGGGGAAATTGTTTCTTGGGCAAAAATTGTATCTGGGTGCAGTTTGAGAATTCAGGTTAATGGGATGGTGTTTTGTACGATGGGAAGGGGTTTGCGCAGGGGTCCTCTGTCGAAAATTTTTGTTTGATGTTTTAGGAAAAACCCTTTTATAGGGCGTTAGGTGGGTATGGCGAGAGCGGGGGTTTGGGTTTTTGCACGAAAAGGGGGAAGGGGGGGGTATAGTGGGTTACGGGGATGATAGACTTTTTTGGTGGGGATGTGAGGGTTTTACTAAGGTGGAAGGGGATAGACGTTTTTGGTGAGGCTACGGGGATGAAATTAATGTAGAAAAGTCCAAAGTTTTTGGTTCAGGGGATAGTGTACATAAGGTGGACTGTTGGGGTGGAGGGGTTTGTGGTTTTGATCAGCTGTTGTATGTGGGATAGTGTACATGCGGAATGATGGGGATGCAAAGAGGCAAATTCGAGGCGACCGTGGATGGGTTTTGAAAAGATTGGGGGGTTTTGGGGGAGAGCAATTAACGTTGCATAAAAAGGGTTTTTGTCACGAAGCCCTGTTGTAAGAAGTTATGGCACGTGGGGAATATTCCGTTACGAGGGTTGGGGTGAAGGGTTTGAAAACTGCGAGTTTCAGATTTATTGGGGATGGGTTGTGATGGCAAAGTAGAGGGGTGGTGTCGTTTCCCCGTTGCCGGGGGGGGGGTGGGGCTTAAACCTTTGAGAAAACGTTTGTTGGTGTGTTTTTTGAAAAGGGGGTTTGTGAGGGAGGGGGTGGGGGGGGGGGGAGGCCTGAAAGACTGTGCATGGATATGCAACGGTGGTGAGGGGTAGTGATTATTTAATGTTTGGGGAGAGGCTATTGTTGCGAGTTTTAATGAAGGTAAGGGATCCGAAACAGTTAAATTGAAGGTTCTTGAGTGGGTGGGGTGGTGGGTCTGTGGTGGGGCAGTTGAGTTGAGGGGCGCATTACCCTATGTATGCATGGGGTTCTGTATGAAATGTCTTCAACAACTAGTGTAAAACCAAGTGTCAGGGAGGTTATTGTTTAGGTTTTTACAGGGATTTTGCCGGTCTGGGTTGTGTTATTTATAGGAGATGAAATAGATTAAGGAGGGGGGGAGTGGCACAAAGGTGTGGATGTCCGGAAAACCATATTTCACGCTGTGTACTTTTGTATATGGTTAGAAGATGTGACGGGTTCTGGCTAAGTAGGGGTAGTTAGGTTAGTGGGGTGGGGAAGGGTTAAGGTGTGTTGCGGGTGTTAAGTTTAGTTATGTGTGGGTGCGAGTCAGCAGGTGGTGAATGCTGGTATGGCGTATGTGAGTCACTGATTTTATTTTTATATCTTGGGCATTCGGGGGAGGTGGGAAGTCGAGGAAATGGATAGGAGTGTTAGGGGCCACGATGTATTAGTAACAAAGTGCCGCAATAGGGATCTTTATGGGGTAGATGGGAGACAGCATTTAATGAAGGTCTATCGTAGATTAGGTTGAAGGATTTAAGAGATTTTAAGTGTCAGTAAGGGGTTGCGGCGGGCTAGTTTTCTTGAGTATGGACATGTGTAGGATGTAGCGTGTGTGGTACGTTTGGTAATATATAAATAAGCTTCTTTTTGTGAATGTGAGTTTGGTCGGGGTGTAGTTGTGCAAGATAAGTTTTTCACATTGTTTTTCAGGAAGGTATTGAATATAATATGTAAGTAGTGTTGTTGCACTAACTTGTTTGTATGTGGGAGAGGGTACATCTCACAGTATTTGTGATGTTGGAAGGTTTGAGGTGGACACATGGCATGATCTAAGTATGTTTGGTTTTCTTTTTGTCCTCAAATGTGTTATACAAAGAAGAATACTGTGGTGTTGTGATGTGACGTTTATAGGTATTCAACATCTTGTTGTATGTTCCCTTTTCGATAATTTGTTGTAATTGTCATTTCAATTGTACTTTGTATAGTATTATACAATGGTATTGTTCTTTGCCAATGAAGTGGTTTTTTTTATAGGTTATGTTATGTTCTAGTTTTTGTATGTTAGATGTACTTAGACTTGTTCAGCACCCTGATATAGGTTTTTGCTGCTAGGTTCTTAACGAAGTTTTGGCTGTTATGGTAAAGATATATATAGCCAGTTTATAGACGCATATCCTTTTGTGTCTGAGATTTTTGTATACGGGTTTATTGTAACTGTAATGAGTCGGTTTTAAGCTGTTTTCTTTGTATGTTTATTTGTATTTTGGTATATGGGATAAGTATGTAGATGTTCTAGTAGGATTATGATGTTAGAGATCCATACTGTTTCCTTTTATTTTTATTTTTATGTATACTGTATTGGTTATAAATAAAATATAAAAAAAAAATAACAACACTATCGCTGCAAAAGGAGTTCCTCAGTCTGAACAACAATTATTAACTCATAATAACTTTAGAAGTGTGCTGGAAGACGGTTCTAAACATACCTTCCAATATAGTCAAATTAGAAATTTAAAAGGTCAGATGACCACTATCACCACTAGGAAACGAGGTCTTAGCTCATTTGATGATAAGCGCTTTTACTTAGATGCCTATCACTCTGTATCCTATGGTCATCCAGATGCCAGAGAAACAAAGTTTAAATTATTTAAAGATAAAACAGATGACAAAGTGGAGGAAGACGAAGAAGCTAATAGCAGTACTGAAGAAGGGAGTACAGAAGAAGAAGAGGAACTAGAGATGAGAGACAGTTGCAATCTTTGGCGGGGAAGAGAAAAAACCGTAAGAGATTTTTTCCCCAGGGTCAAGCATCGACGCGAGAGAGGTAGATCTTCCGCCACTGCTCGTAGTTTCATGCTCTTAGAAGCTAGCTGTTCTGAGGGAGAGGAGGAATAAAACAATGTAATGTTAACTAATAAATATATTTGCTAAGAGAGACTTTTTTGTTTTCACCCTTTGAAAAATTAGGTTATTATCCTTTTTCACACAGATGCCCCCGATGTAGCCGGAGAGCGGGCGCAGGGCTGATAATCACACCCGATGACCTCCAAAGAAGCAGGCCCGCCGCAACACTCCATCAGAGAGCCCCAGTCACCTGAATCCTTTGTACTGCCTCTCTCTCCCATCTATCAGTGTAATAGAGTTTGGGGAGTCAGAAGTGATCATTACTCTACTTCTGTTCCTACTTAGTAATAAGACTCTCTATCCCCTTGGGGGATGATTAAACATATTAAACTCCTACCCTGTCAGCCCTAAGGTCATACAGACCCCCCATTATCTCATTATTTTTCCATGGTCATTATCCCGGAATCCGGTTCCCTCGGGCGACCGGCTGCCCATCCATTACCACGTTCTTTAAACCCAGCAGTGTTGTTGTGAAGTAGCAACAGTCGCGTCAGTGAGTCGCAGGCCCGGGAAAGGGGGGGGGGGGGACTCCCTCGGAGATGGTAAGCTTGTACCCAGTCACCTGAATCCTTTGTACTGTCTCTCCCATCTATCAGAGTGATTGAGTTTGGGGAGTCAAAAGTGATCATTACCCTACCTTCTTATAATTAGTAATTACACAGAAATAAGCCTCTCTCTCTCTCTATCCCCTTGGGGGATGTTTAAATACATATTAAATCTTGTACCCCTGACAGCACCTGAGCTTATGAAGACCAACCCATTATCACATTCTTTTTCCACACTCATTATCCTGGAATCTGCCCACCTGCACACCTGAATCCTTTTTTGTACTGCCTCTCCCATCTATCAGAGTGATTGAGTTTGGGGTGTCAGAAGTGATCATTACCTACCTTCCTATACTTAGTAATTACACAGAAATAAATCTCTCTATCCCCTGGGGGATGATTAAACATATTAAACTTGTACCCCCTGACAGCACCTGTGCTTATGCAGACCACCCATTATCACATTCTTTTCCACACTCATTATCCCGGAATCTGCCACCTGCACACCCGAATCCTTTGTTCTACTTTATGTACCTACTTATTAATGCATAGGAATAAGTCTCTCTATCCCCTTGGGCCATGATTAATCATATTAAACAATTACCCTGTCATGCAAACCCCATCATTATCGCATTTTCCATGGTCATTATCCGGCAGTGTTCCTAGATCGACCAATATATACTACTACCGTCGGTTCTGTCCGATTTTTGCACTGGTAGCTTTCCCCCTAACTTAATTAACTAGTCCAAAAACAGTTTTCATGAACCCAGGACTGTGAAACTGCTCTTAATCGTTTAAAAAGATTACTATCCTCTTCCCCAGTATTGCTAAGTCCTGATTCTAATAAACCATTCCACTTACAAAAAGATGCCAGTGCATATGCTTTGGGAGCCGCATTGTTACAGAAGGCTCCAAATTCTGACCTGTTACAACCTGTTTCTTATTTTTCTTCTAAGTTAAAGAAACACCAAATTAATTATTCAACTATAGAAAAAAAAGCCTTAGCTCTCGTTGTATGCCTAGAGAATTTTGATGTATATTTAGGATCTTCTACCCATCAGATATCGGTGTACTCCGATCATAATCCTTTGACCTTCATAAATTCTATGAAATCGAAGAATGCGAGAATACTTCGTTGGGCTTTGAGAATTCAACCCTTCTCTATCTCTATTTCCCATATAAAAGGAAAACATAATCTCATTGCTGATGCCCTCTCTAGGCCTTGAATTTTTTATTAATATACCTTTATTTTAACAGTGTGAGTCGGTATTTTTATGACCATCTATGTTGTGGAGAAAGCTGGAGATTATGTAGGACTGCTGTCTATGTTACAACCTCTGCTACTATGACAGATGCTACCCACCACAGAGAGTACAGTCAATGGCGACCGTCAGTAAACGAGGGGGGAAAGGTGTTTACGCGCCCCTACTTCACTCCATTATATACAAAAATAAAAGGCCTGGTTAAAATAAGTTCTGTAATAATATATCGCGAACCACTTTATTACTAGCTAGATAAAGCAGGTTCGACTATATATTATTATCGGGTACAGTATGAATCATCAAAAGTACTCCTCTTTGTATTATATTGAAATTATATTATATCTTTCCCCATGATTAATTATAATTATAAAAATTATATTATATTTATTATTAGGTTAGGTATTACGAATGTGTAACCACTACGGGTAGTGACCAATTGGTGGTTCTAGAATTGACGCCACGCGTCGCCTTTTTGGCCGAGCTGAAGTCAACTATGGAGTAGTTGAAATGAGTCAGTCAGCTCCTAGCTCTGACTCGGTACGGGTCTTCAACACAAAGCTCCTAGCTTAAACTTAAACTTTTTACCATGTCTATTGTCTTGCCTTTGCCATTAGTTTCCTGAAGTCTGGTAATTCATGCCCCTTTGAAAGATAAAATATTTCGTTACCCTAGACCTTTCTAAAAGAGTTAAATGGTGAGATTAGTAGATTATTAATTGAAATTATTGTATCAAACTCTGTTAATGAGAATTTGAACGTAAGATTGGGTTTCTTGCTGTGTAGTATTTCACTTATAATTGCTTGTGGTTATTTTAATTCACTAACCAAATACCAATGAAGCTAAACGATTGGTAATAAAATAAAACTAACAAAAAATTTGAGTTATTTGTGCCCCTATTGTTACGGTGAAGATTAAGTCGTAACAAATGGGTTGTCTGTCCGGGAGCTACTTACCCTGAAGTACATATTTGTTTTGCATTAAAATAAGCTCCCTTGCGAGAATTAAGAAAATGGATCCAAAATTAAGTTATTATTAGATAATTAACAGAGGCACTTTGACACAAAAAAAATTTACAGACGTGTTGGCAAATAGCTAGACAGTTAGATATACCTTAAATAGATCCAATGCGAACTTTAGGTCCCTAATTAAGGATAGATTTTTCCCCGAAATCCCAAGCAATGCCAAAATTAAATTTTGGAAGATATTTTATTTCTCAGTTCGGGAGTAAAATCCCCCCGGGAACTGCCTTAAAAATAAAGGGAAAGCCGGGTTTACGAGGCCTTCTATCAGTCCAGTCTCAAAAGCTCCCCCCCCTTCATTTCCCCGAGATGTAGGGTGGTTGGAACAAAACCCTCAGTAAAAAGAGGGGGGAAATTTTGGATTGGCTCGCCCAAAAATATTTCCGGAGAAAGACCCCCCCAAATTCCCCCCTCGGTGTCATACCCTTAATTTCACGTCCGAACAACTAAAGAAAAAACGCATATTACTTTTTTACAGAACTCTAAAACAAAGCAGAAACGTCTAAACGGGGAAAGATTTGGGCGTGAAAGGTTTAGTTTTGAAACAAAGCAGAAGGGATTTGGAAGAAAGAGCGTGAAGAGCAGGAAACCCGGGTTTACTTGCATAAAGCACTCTGATGGTACCCTAATTTAACAAAACGATTTAGATGAATTTTTTGAAATTTTTAAAATCACACGTTCAATGGACGGCCAAAGACAAAGGGGCCACATTACGCCCCACGTCTCTTAGGGAAAGCCGTCTTTTTCCCCCTCCTTACCATATGATTTTTTATGTCCAGTAGACTAGTAAAGAGAACATTTTAGAAGCATATGACAGCTCCCTTTTAGTTACCAAAAGCTTTTCTTTCCCATGAAAGGGCAAACGGGACAAATTATTTAGTTTTGCCCGGGGGAAACGGGTGGCATTTGAAGTTGGGTCGGCTTCTCGGGCCCCGACTTTAAAAGATCTAAAAAATTAAATGAAACTAAAGATTTGTTTGAAAATTTTTTTCCAGAGGGATTTTCGCCATATCTTGTTCCCCATCCGAAAACGACGTTTTTTAGGACTGCCCGCGGCAGACAACTTCGAGATTTCCCAAGGGGGACAACTGAAAGCAGCCAGTTTCAAACCAGCAACGAACCCGAACCCCCGAAGCCTTTCGGTAAGTGCCTACCCAACCCGTTCACCCCGTGTAACAAGTAACCCGAAGTAAAACACCAAATTCAATTGACCCCATCCTATACAAAGAAGGTCGGGAAAAAAAATTAAATTTTCGTACTTTTTCGAAGCTGGGACTTTAAAATCAAAAATTTTTTTAAGCGTGATGGGACCAGGAAGGAGTCCCACATATGTTTGCCCACACAAATTATCCTCTAACCCCCAAGGGAAACCCGACCAAGAAAGACGCTCTGTCCCCAAGGAAAAGGAACAATCCCCTAGTTTGTTTAAAGCAGAATAGGGTACTCGTCAACTTGTAAGGGGCTATGGTCCTTACTTTTCCAAAAGCAAAGTGGGAATTACCGAAGCCAGTTGTTGCAAGTAAATTCCTTTGGGATAGGGGGTCCACTTAACATTTTTGAGAGAAGACTGTTATCATTCCCCGCCGATCATATACGGGTTTCCGACCTCTGTTGGGAAGCTTGGGGTGGCCCCACAGCGAGTACCCCTCAATTATAGTTAAAACTCCAATTTTACAGGCGGGACTAAACCCGATGTCTCCAATACCTTCCCATAAAAGACGTAGCCTTTTGATTGGGAACGTTTTAGCAGAAGAGGAATAGGGAAAGACCCATTTATGGAAAATCCAACCGAGGAAAATTCGTCATGAAGCCCACAACGGAACCTACCCTCTTTCCTCTGGCTAGTAACCCGGGCAATGACCCAAACTAGGTTCTCCGTTGGTATCGGGGGAAGTCAGGGACGACGTCGACGTAGGAGTAGGAGACATATTCAACGAAAGCTCGAGTGCGACCCAAACACCCCACCCAGAACCAAAACCTTCCTAATCGGTGGTTTTTCCAAAATAATTTTTTCTCGAAGGAGATCTAGTAAGGAACTCCAAATAGCCCCCTCCTTAAGTGACATCAAAGTTGCTGTGTGGGGAGAAGAAGCCCCTTAAAGGGACAGCTCTTACTTTTGGGGAAAAGGACTACTGAAAAAAAACTAGGATCTCTTAAAAGTGATCTCTATGGTCTTGCCTACCCCTTTAGAATTAGCATGTAAGTTTGCTCATGACAGTCCTCAAGGGGGAATCGGGAAAAAAGAAGATTTTTAGAAAAAATTGCTAAGCACTTCACAGGCCAAAAATGAAGGAAAAGGGGAAAAGGGTATGTAAGAACGTTCCGTGTGTCAGCTATAGGAAACCTGCACATAATCCCCACCTGCGCCGTTGAACCCTTACAAGTAAGAGGCGAA